GGGTATGAATGTAGAGTTCAAAACCAGGCAAAACTAATCTGTGATCTTAGAAAACAAGCTGGTGATCGGAGGGAGGCACGAGGCGGGGCCTCTGGGATGTGGATGCTGTCCTGTTTTTTGATCTGAGGGGTGGTTACATGGATATGTCTCCTTTGTGAAAATTTATTGAGGTGCACACAAGATCTATGGCATTTTCTGTACATGCTGTACTTCAAAAAAACGCAACCCTCCCCTCAAAAATCAAACTAATGACAAGTAGTTATTTTAACTGAATCAGATAAGGATTAAAGGGGAGAGGTGGCTTTTAAAAACAAATTATACGTGAGTGCTTACTCTGTTAGTGCTGTGCTGAATGACAGTTAGGGATCTCAGCAAAATAGCCACACGTGGTGGGATCTCTTATTATCTTCCCAGGTAACGGAACTCAGAGAGGTTAAGGATTTTTCTAGGGCCACGCAGCCTAGAAAGGGGCTAAGGTAAGAATCAAACCCAGGTCTGTCCGTCTCAAGCCCTCTCTGCTCTCTCTGGTTCCCTCATTTGAACACCTCGGTCCTCCCTGCAACACCACAGTATGTAGACAACTGTGCTCCTACCTAAAAGGGGTGTCAAAGAGAAGATGAGCGGGAGGCTGTGCCTCTGCAGGCAGGGAGTGGCGTGGAGGGGCTCCAGGGTTAGAGTTAACACCAGAGTGGCACAGCTGACATTTTTGATGAAATTCCCCAAATAATGGAAGATGGTGGAAAGCTCTTCTTCCCTGAACCATGGTGTCTTGCTCGAGGAGAAATGGCGCTCCCTCTTAAACGCTCTCTGGAGCCTTTGCAGGCCTCCAGCACTGTTCGGCATCTTAACCATGGAAGGACGCGGGGAGGGAGGAGATGGGTAAGATGAAGCTGCAGCGAGCTGGGAGGCTGGCTCAACAGATACAAGTATCTTGCTACTCACCAGACACTATAGCTATCAAAGTTCTGGAACTTTAGTTTTCAAAAATCACTTTGAAATGACTTCAGAATATTTGGTTAAGAAAAACGTGTGATAAATACTATCACAAAGAGAAACCATTTGAAAAGCAAATACATCTATTTGTAAACATAGCATTTTATTAACAAAATGTTTACACCTTTCTTACAATACAACAAATTTTGTAGTGATTTAGCATATTATACTCTATAAAAGCTTATTATAGAATATTCAAGCCAAAACAATATAGTTTCAAACTATGCCAAACCAAGCCCCATCTGTGAACTACCACCAGCATAAGCATGAAAAGACAAATCTGACAACAAAAATCAAAGGAGCGAGCTTTTCTTCTGTCAGCATCCACAAACAATAGACATCACGTGGTCTCTGTGCGGACTTAGGTCCAGCCCAAGGTTAAGACTGCAAAAATAACGTCTTCAAACGCCCACATAAGCTCGGCAAATCATCGTTACAATATTTCATCACAGGTAATCAAGCGACGCATCGTGCAGAGAAGCCACGGCTATAAATTTGGGCTGTTTACAGTGCTACAAAGCGGCCTAAACTGTAAGCAACTGAGTTTTGTTTTTTTTCATAATATATGCTATTATAAAAAGGCACAAATATCTCACTCCTTGCATCAGGTCTGGAAAAGGCATGACATTCTTAGGAGAAATAAGAATTGCTGGTACGATAGCTCAGCTATTTTTTTAAAACGTCTAGGCTCATCTCCATAGCTGCTTCTCTTCCTGACTTTAGACTTGGGTTTTTACAGACTTTAGCAAATGCTCTATTCAAACTAAGCAAAGTTCTGACACTTCAATGATCTCACTACCAATGGTAAAAACCATCTTATCAATCATGCAACTCAAGCATGTTGCCACCGGAAGCTGGTGCTGCCACTCCCTCCCTGGAAATACTGGAGTTCTCCACCTCAAATTAGCCCTTGTGTTTTCTGACAGTGCTGGTTGCGTCTCGCCTCACTTGTCGGACGTGGTGGGTAAACCTTACTGCGGCCATGTAAGGCAGCATGGGAAGGGATGTCACATGCAATAATGAGGTGGCTGGTGCCAAGCGTCTTAAAGAGAGAGCCCATCACAAAAGGAGAAGAATAAGAGAGATAAGGCAAGAAGTCTGCTTCGATCACAGAGAAGGCAAGATGTCAATTCTTAAGAAGGTCAGAGGCATGACTGACAATTATGTGAGTGACTCATAAAGTGAAATGATGGAAGGACTGAGCTGGATGAGTGTAAAAAAAAAAATCTTTTCCAGGGCAATAAAGCTGTGTCTACACAACACAACAAATGGTTTAAAAATAGAGCCACTGATCAGTTGTTCTGACTAGCCAGCTGCCCGCTTATTTTCCCTGCATTAAATCCACCGGTCACTCTGACATCATGTGGGTGATCCGTAGTAAGAAGCTTCATAAACTATGTAACAATCTCATGTGAGAAGTAAGCCGAGGCACACAAATTCGAGCCCTGCTTTCAAAATTTTTCAGGGAGTAAAAGTGATTATTCAAATATAAATTTAATTAAAAAATAAATAAAGGACAAATGATACTAGGATTAAGCCCCAAAGTGATGTCATACAGAGCTGTGTGCTGACCATGTTCCAAAGCGGCCTGGGCCTGCTGCCTGCCCCACTCCAGCTGGGTGGCCAGCGGCTCTGGACTCACCCTGGGGAAGAAGGTATGCTCGGTTTTTCTACAATGTGACAAAAGATGTTGTCAGTGCTCCCTGAACAATTTCAGTTCTGAGTAAAGATTATCCGCCCTACACGTGAAATGCAATTTTAAACATGATTTCCTCTGAAGTACCGCATTAAACAATTTGCTTCTGGAAACACTAAAAAGTTCTTGAATCAAGAAGTGGCATCCAGGGGCTGGCCTGGTGGCACAGCAGTTAAGTTCACGCGCTCTGCTTCAGCGGCCCAGGGTTTGCTGCTCCAGATCCCGGGCAGGGACCTAGCACCAGTTATGAAGCCACGCTGTGGCGGGCGTCCCACGTATGAAGTGGAGGAAGATGGGTGTGGGTGTGAGCTCAGGGCCAGTCTTCCTCAGCAAAAAGAGGAGGACTGGCAGCGGCTGTTAGCTCAGGACTGAGCTTCCTCAAAAAGAAAAAAGCGGCATCAAAACCAGCATATGTTGTTTCTGTTGCATGATTAAGGAGCAGATTAAGGTCCACAGTTTAAAACTGTCAATTAAAGAAGGCTCTTTCAAAAAATCATTACTATCGTAGGATTTCCCATTAATTGGCTGAATTCTTGGTACTTGAATTCCTGTTCATGGAAAGCTACCCAGAATTTTGTTTGTTTCAACTATGAAGCATTTTGATGAGGCACTGGGCACCATACGGATCTGAAAATGAACTGGCAATAAACTGAAAATTCTTTTGTTAAATTTGTTAAGACTCTATGGTTTTAATTCCAGGATCTACTGATGACATATACTAATCTTACTATCTAAAATGTTAATGTAATAAAAAAAAAAGATGGAAAGATTAAGATTTTTCTTTTTATTAAATTTCTGAATCCTTTTGTTTTGAAAGCAAAAATATCCTAGCGTATCTATAACTGACTATACTCTAAAAGGAAAGAACACAGATATTAGTTATTTCTGATGGTACAGACCATCAAATTAAAGTTGATCTATGCTGCTGGAAGTCCTTCTAGATTTGAAAAGTAAATCATTTTCCTATATGCTAAGAGAATCTTGGACAAACTGAGAAATATGGAGATTCGTGCTTCTATTTATTCACTTTCTCCACTATGTCTAATGAAACTTCATCACAACAGGTCCCCCCCACTTTCACTCTCTCAGCTTGAAAAAGTGGAGGCTCCCGAAAAATGTAATAGCCTTCTAATATTTTTTAGACTTTCATTTGCACATAAAACAGGACAAATGCCCCAGAATTCCAGTAATGTTTCTTGCAAATGAGATAATCAAATTGCCTGGATTTCTATTACTGGAAGTCAAGACAAGTAACTCTGCTGTCAAGAGAAATCGGTAGAGGTTGTTTCTTTCAGTCCTAAATTCCACCCCCACGTCCCTTTTCTAAAACAATACAGCATAATGTTTATCTCCTGGATAGACTTGTTGCTTGGACTATTTTTTATCATAGTACCACAGGAGTTAAAATAAATCTCCTAAACATTACCTTGAATCAGTTAAAAATTTTTGATGGACCAAGCTAATTGAAGGCAGGTGTAGAGTAACAGCTTGACCCCCGCAGTACACTCCATTTCTTCCTTTAAAAGTATTAACTGTTAAGAGGTAGACCACGTATACAGAAGTCATGCTGCTAGTCCCTTTAAAACAATTTTAGACAATGAAGATGTTTTAGAGGTTCACACTCCCCAGTTTATGACTGCCATTTAACTTTCATGACATAGCTGGGACGAACACTTACAGCCTGGTGAGTTTAGAGCAGAGAGCCAGCCTGAGTTCATGGGCTGTCATGTCCCCCCAAATGTTCTAAAGCAGGTTCCTAGTCTAGATCAGAGTTAAGGGACTTCCAATAATTTCTCCTAGAAGGAAAGGATTCTGTCATTACTTATACAGGTTCTTGCAAAAGCAACTGAGTATGTCCGGGGATCATCTGTCATATAACACACTGTGAACCTCTATCTTATACACTAAGGGACCATGAATCACGTTCTCAGTATGTTCTGAAAAAAAGGAGTGAAAAAATGCTTTTAAGAATTTTTATAACCTCTTTTGCAACTCACTCTCAGAAGACAAAAGATGCACACAGCAATGCATAAAGGCCTTTTCAAGCTCTGAGGCTATGCCAATGAATGCAGTGTAATCTGAATCAAACCTGCGCATTTTAACACAATGCCACAGAAGTATGGATGTTCTGGTTTGACACCTCCAGGCCAGCCATGAAAGAGCTATCTAAAGCACAGTCATTACTCTCTCCCAGAGTTTAATACAGAGGTCTTCCAGACCTATTTTCCTTCTTGACAACAGAAAAGAGATAAGTACAAGACTTAAAGAGGAGTTCTGAAATTAAATATGGTTTTCTTTTCCTTTTTATATATTTAAAAACAATGAAAATTGATAACGTCAAGAAGGACACCAGCCCCCCTTACAGGAGGAAGTCAAGCCTGTCATATAAAAGGCTTGATCCTTTCAGACACGGGGAGGCATCCAGGAAGCTCGTGTGTCACAGGAGCCAGGCACTCCAAACAAAATGGTCAACAGGCAACAAGGCAGTGCGCTACTTTAGAGGAAGGAAATCTTTCAGCTGCTGGAGGTTTCACTGGAGCCAGGAGGCCTTGCAGTAGGTGCTTCTCCCTAATCACTTTTCGGAGAGTTTCAAATGAAGGACACTTAATCATACTCTTACTTTATGCTCTTTTAATCACCAAATGATAGTTAATTAGTTATCATAGAATCAGAAAAACTCTTGTGTGAAAGGAGAGTTCTAGAGACCAATGGTTACCAGGATTGGACACCTGCAAAGAGCTTATTTCAATTACTCTGAGAGGAATCAATATACACTTGCAGCTAATTAATGATTTTTCTTTTCAGTCTCACAAGTTTTTAAAATGGCCCTGTGTCATAAGGGAACCAAAAGAAGATTTTTATAGATGGGCTATATCTCAATTCCTTTGAAATATAGCCTTTATCTCACAGTAAAAAATGACAATAAAGAATGTATGAAATACATATTAGATCATTGCTTAGGTTAACAATCCAAAGTATGTTCAAAATAAAATGCTGTTTCTGACTTTAATATTCATCTTTGCATTTCAGAAGCAAAAAAATAAATGAAAACATTTTTTCCCCTCTTTTCATAGAGTATGGATTATGGATCTGAGATAGATAGCAATTTGCTGTTGGTGTTAAGCATTAAAAAGATACTACATGAGAAACAGTTCCACGTCAATTTCTGAGACAGACTGATGAAAATGAGGGGAGAAGAGGCCCCAGACACGCGTGAAGAACAGCGGTGTTGCACAAGCCATACGTTATTCATTCTCTCAATAAAACATATGGCCATAACCAAACAGAATCATTCTCTACATATGGGAAGGAGTACGGGAAATCTGGACAAGAAACCAACAGCACAAGGCTAAATACAGTGAATGTCATGAGAGGATCAGAGGCATCCAGAAGCCTCACCAATGAGAGGAGGCACGGAAGCACTCGGCCTTTCCCCGTGCACCCAGACACCATGAAGTCATCAACACTGACTGACAGGTTTGCTGGAAAAATGTGAAGGTCACAGGTTTGTATCATCTTTTGGTGAAACGATACAGAAAAGGCCACACTTGCACTGCCTCTTCGGTAATGAGTCAAGGAACTTTTGTTTTTATTTTGTTGTCCTGGAGATAGAGGCCCAGCAGTGGGAATGTCAGGGACACACCAGGGCAGTGGCCAGACACCCCCATCCATCTGGACATATATGAAACAAAGTTAAACTGCCTTCAAGTGTAAAGAGCCCAGCCCTTGGAACCAGGAGTTTTCTCTTACAGCTTGCTAATTTCACGCTGGGAAGGAAGCAAGATGCTAGGTGTGTTGAGAAGTCTATATGTATTTTAAACAAAACAGCATTAGAATTTTCACGAACTACATTCCTTCTATACGATTTCAATAAGAGCATAAGCAATTTCAAATACTTAAGATGTACACCAGGGAAAAGGGAATCGTTTTTTACCTAATCTGAGCTATAATTTTCCCATTAAAATCTATCCCTATTAAGTGGGGGGCACAAAGAAATAACAATTATTTTTAAAAGTTTCGACTGTTCAGTTTAAGGATAGCTCTGCAAACACAATTTAGTTTGAAATTCAAGCTGTTTCATTTCCTATTTAATCTTGTAAATTTCCTTCCCTTACAATAGTCAGGTTGGAAGGGTGCCAAATTAGACTAGGAACAAATTTTCACCAACTTCACTTCAGCGCTTTATTTTTAGATTATATTAAAAACCTCATTAGGCTCCCTGAGGGAAAAGAGTGTTAACCACTAACAGAGGCAGGGGAAAATAAAGGAAACGGAAAGATAAGCTAAATTGTTAACAAGGAAAGCTCTCTTAAAACAGTTGGTCTGAGGTCGCTATAAAAGCTAAAAGAAACTTATTACCAAGACCAGGTAAATGACTTGAGCTTGGAGCTTAATCTCTTACCCCAAAGCTAGCAAGGGCTAGTCAGGCTTGTCAAAGTGCGTAATCTTTATCATGATTTCCAGATGGGATGTGGAGGGTGCGGGGAGGGAAGGCAGAAGATCTCTGCAGACTGTAAGCTGCGCGCTCTGCGCTTCCCACAGCGTGAATGTGCTCCAGAGGCTCCTGGGCATCGGCCGAAAGCGACTGGGCGGATGGGAGGCTGGGTGCAAGATTAAATGGAGTGTTGAACAAAACACAGAATTTATTAATGTATTTACATAATTTATAATCTTTAAGCAATGGTCTCATAAATATAGACTACAACTTTACATATTCTAAGCAACAGATAATTGTTTTCCCCACCAAAATAGCTGGGTTAAATAAAAAATTGACAGCATTTACACCACTTTCTCTCTTCTTCCTCTTTTTTAAACCATTGCTAGTCAGTTTAAACATACACAATTCAATGTATTCCAGGCAGCTTCTCTACCACCACCATCTTGATCATGAGAGCTTACCTAAAAAGGTGCCAATAATGTGTTTGGTGACTCATATATGACAGGGTCAGAATGCAAACCTAAGGTGAGCTATGCAATTGTTATTGTTGTTAACTTACTGTATGTATCCTGGGCTAATATCATCAATGAAAAATACTTTAGAGATGGCGGGATGGAATAATTTCCATCAGTCCTAGAAATAACCCACTTTAGCTTCAAACAATAATTGCCATCCCTCCACTTAGCATATCCCACCACACTGTCAGTGATACAACTCCCTATAACAGTGGGAGTGGGCAACTACGGAAATGATAATCTCCATAAGATCTTTTTTCCCCCTAAACTCACAAAAGTGCTAATTTTCCCTTTACAAATGTTACATAAAATCTTGATTACAAAACTACTCAACAACTTAATCCTACCATCCATACAATTATATGTTCCTTTTCGGCAAGGTCAAAAGCCAATGATGTAGTCCCTTTGTACACCAGAGATTCTTTACACAAGAGAGGTCCACAGACTGAACTATTATTGCTGCGCTCTCCAAAGAGGAAACAACCGGTCAAGTTCCGTGAATCCTTTCTGCATGAAGAAGGCCCAAGACCGGCTAGGCGACCCGTGGCGGCAGGGTCCCCGCCCTCCTGTTAACGTTCAGGACCACCTACGTCATCATCCAGTCTGAGGGGCTGAGGCTCAGTCAGCAGCAGCTCCGTCTGGGCTCTGAAGGCTGTCTTCGGAGTTTGAAGCCCTTCCCGCCAGATGGTGGGTTGGCATCAGTGGACGGAATTCTTCGACCTAAACAAAAAGGAGACAAGGGAAGGAAATGAGCTTTAACTTTCCAAATCTGCTCATTCTCAGACACAACAATTTTGCAGATGCAATGTGATGGGTTTCATTAAAATAAAAAAGTTTGACAAACTTTTAATTTTGGAATAATTTTAGATTTACAGAAATGCTGCAAAGGTAACACAGAGTTGCTGTATACTCCTCACCCTGTTTCCCCTAACGCTGGCATCCTGTCTTACACGGGACATTTGTCAAAATGAAGAATTCAACGTTGGCACATCACTATTAACTGAACTCCAGACTTTTTTCAGATGCCATCAGTTTTTCCACTAATGCTCTATTTCTGTTCCAGGGTCCAGACAAGGATATTAATGTGGCATTTAGTAAAAATTTTTTAATTAAAAAAATTACGTTAAAAATACCATTTTGTTTTGAGTAGGTAATATTTGTATATGGTAAAAAAAAAAATTCAATCAGAACATGCCTATCCTTCCGTCTTACGGTAGAGGCCACCTTCCAGAGGCAGACGTGCACAGACATGCACAGTATACATACACCTCTACCTGTCCCCTTTCTAGACCCAGACAGGAGCACACCGTGTGCACTGCTCCCCATCTTGCTGTGTTTTCACTTGATTGATCCTGGGGATTATTCCATCACAGCATTCTTTTTAATAGCTCTATGATACTGCATTGTATGGATGTACCGTAATTTACTTAAGAACTCCCCTGTTGATGGATATTTAGTTTGTTTCCAATATTTTGATGTTAATAACAACAGTGCAAAAACTATCTTTGTGAACCTAAGAGTGCATATGTAGGATAAATGAAGAGGAATGCAAGAGCTGGGTCATGCTATTTTACTCCTGGGTATTTATCTGACACATACACTGTATTTCCAGTGTCTGTCTAGCACAAATGCAGGAAGGACGTGCAATTTAAATTTTGACAGATGCTGCCAAATTGCTCTCTGAAGAGGTTATGCCGCTTTATTCTCCTACCAACAATGCATAAAAATGAACAGGTTTCACTTTACTGCTCCGTGAAGCATAATGTCAATTTCGAGAGAAATCTTAAATCACCCATCCACCTATGTAGCTGATAACTCAGGGGTTGCTTCTTGTACAAAGGCTTTCCTGACGCTCTCCTACTTCCTAACTCTCTCCAACACTTCAGACACTGAAGTCAATCAGGAGCGAGAAGCCTGTTATTACATATTTGTTTACGCAACTCTCTCCCTCGAATTAGACCCTAAGCTCTTTGAGGGAAGAGATCTGTTTCTTCATCGTTACGTTTCTAGCATCCAGGTAGTGCAGTACCTGGCACCGAGGTATTTTGAAAACGTGGGATGAAATGACACACGCATCTTTTGGCATTAACGAGGCCTAGATGCAATCCACCAACTCTCAGGTCCGTCGTTACCCAGCCTGGAGACTCCAGCATGTTGAGCAGCCTGCACATCTGGGTGGGTATACCACTCATGGTGTCTATATGACTAGAAATGTCCCCCAGTATGTCCTAACTACTCTTCAAATGCCTGTGGATACTATTGTGAATAAATGGCAAATTTATTTAGAAGCTTTATTGAAGCTTCCTGTCATAAGACGTTTCTCAATAAACCCATAGTGGACATACAGCTGGTATTACAGAGCCGTCTCTGAAATATTTTTAGAAGAAAGCAGAGGAGAACAACTTCATGACCTGAGAACAGGCAATGATTTCTTAAACGGAAGCCAAGAAGTGCTAAACATAAAGGAGAATAAGGATAAACGCATTATATTAAGATTAAAAACTCCAGTTCATCAAAACAGTTGATTGAAAACTGAAGGTCAAGCCACAAAGCAGATGATCTTTCCAATACACATAATCAACAATGGACTCATATCCAAAATAAACTATAAACATTAAGTAAAAGGCAGGTAACCCAACAGGAAAATAGGCAAAACTTCACAAAAGAGGATATCCAGATATTATATAAATGCAAATAAATATCCGGAAAGGAGCTCAACTTCATTAGCTGTCATAACTGCTGGTCACTACCTACTCACCAGAAAGGGAGAGTGACTGGAATCCTCACACACCACTGGGGAACATCAATTGGTATAACCACTCTGAAGACTGTCTGGCAGAAACTCTTACTGAACACGTGCATACCCAGTGACTCAGCAATTCTTCTCCTGGGTGTAAATATACCCAACAAAAATGTGCACATAGTGGACGTGAAGGGGAATGTTCAGGGAGGTACTACTTGTGAAAGTTCTAAATTGGAAACAACTAGCCAAATGCTTATCAACAGAATGGGTAACTACACTGTAGACATTCTCCTCACTGACATATGCACCCATGCACATGCGCGCACACACTACAGCAATGAGAAGGAATCAGGCAGTGATATGCATGAATCTAACAAATGCAATGTGGAGGGAGAGAAGCAAGACACAAAAGAGTAAACAGCATGTTTTAAAAAATACAAAGTATAAAAACAGGCAAAACGGATCTGAAGAGTTAGCAGTCAAGGTGGTTCTCTTGAGGGGAGGGGAAGGAACTGGAGTGGCACCAGGAAGGCTTCTGGGGTCCTGCTGGGTCTTGATCTGAGTGCCCATTATAGGAGTACACTCAGTTGTGAAAACTGTTTGAGCTTTATACTTATGATATGAGCACTTTTCTGTATGCATGTTACACTTCAGTGAAAAGTTAGCATGCCAGGGACTCGGCTAATGCAATTTTATAACACCCAGTAAACAGTAAACTCAATTTAAAACTCTCTAAATTTTTCTAATCTTTGCAAACATTTATTTTTTATTTTTCACAGTTAAAATGAATATGTACATGCTAGTTTTTATATAAAAATTTTCATTGTTGGTATAGGTTACTACCTTCCTGTTTTCAACACTGCTAAAGAACATTTAAAAAAACAGTGATAATTTTAGCACACTCATGACACCACACACTCAGATATTTTAGCTTGAACTGTGAAAAATTCCGACTGGCCTTATGTTGCCTTTCAGTTGCATCCGAGTAACTGCTATTTACAATCTAGGAAGACAATAAATATTACAGCTTTTTAATGTTGAAATGAAGGGGCTGCACTAGAGGCTGCAAACCAGCAGTCCACGGGCCACAGCTGGAGCAGGTGGGCTTGGCAGACCTGCATAGTACTCTGAAAATATTTGAATTAGTGGCCAAATCTAAACCAGGGAACATGTTACATAAAATTCAAATCTCTGGTTCTTTGAACAAACTAAAAACATCAAAAAAATATAAGTAGGGCCGGCCCCGTGGCCAAGTTCGCTCGCTGCTCTTTGGTGGCCCAGGATTTCGCTGGTTTGGGTCCTGGGCATGGACATGGCACCGCTCATCAAGCCATGCTGAGGTGGCATCCCACATGCCACAACTAGAAGGACGCACAACTAAAAATACACAACTATGTACCGGGGGGCTTTGGGCAGAAAAAGGAAAAATAAAATCTTAAAAAAAAAAAAAAAAATATATATATATATATGTAAATAAAAACAAAAATAACCCCAGCAACTGGGTAACGAGGAATCTACATTCCAGAATGGCCCCAACTGCTGGAGCTATGCCTGCACTTGCCAGCTGTCAAGGTCACCAGGGCTTCCTGCAGCCCCCCAAGTCCCAGCCCTCGCCCCAGGCCTGCTCTACTGGTGGGCTGTCCCGGCCTGGCCCTAGTGGGCATTGAAGTTCATGCCCCGTCCTCTGCATGATGGCCAAGCACCCTTCCAGCTTCAGTAATCTCAGATTTTACCCAAAGGATGGATCTTAATGAATAAGGTCGCTGTCCCCTGTCGGCTTCCTCCTGTTTTCCATCTGGTAGTCTGACATGTCCAGTTAACCTGAACCCCAGGTCTCTGCAAGACCTCCTCCATCAGATCTCAGCTCCAACATCACATCCTCAGAGAGGCCTTCCCCGACCACCTGCGGACATTCCTTCACTTCATCCTGTATTATTTTCTTCCGATCACTGCTTGTCATTTGAAAGGATCTTATTTATTTTTGTGACCACTGTCTGCCTCCCACAGTAGAATGTGTGCTCTAGGAGAACAGGGGCTGCACCTGTCTTGTTCACTGCTGTCTCCCCTGAGCGTTGAACAGTTCTCGATAAATATTTTGAGGAATTTGAATGAAACGAATAAACATAGATACAATCAGTAGAGGATCCCAAAGGTATGCAGCGCCTCTCTTCCATCTAGTGTCATCCTATCAACACTTCTGGAAGGGAAGGGGGAGGGGTGGGGAAAACAGGTCTTAACTTTTATTCCCCTAGTATTAATTTCTGAGGGTTTTCTTAAAGTGGAATTACACATGCATTCCATTTCCCTTTATTTATTTTGTTCATTTTCAATGACTTTGGAAGACTAATTGAAACACATTTAAAGAGACAAAGAGGGAGAGACGACAGCTTCCAGGTCCTCCAGGCCCTGCGCATTATTTACTCAGTAGTGACATTCTTTCTAGAAGGGCTACAGTCATCAGGCAGCAGCTCTCCAGCAATTATAACACGATATGAAAACTGGCTGTTGCTCTTACATTCTCAAATCTCATTCCACTGAGAACAATACCAGAGTAGACTACACTATGTAAGAAGGGAATTTTACCCAGCAAGATAATTCTGTTCTAAGTTGCTCTGCACACAGGAAACCAATAGGGCACAGAAATACTCACTAATTTCTATAAAGAGTTCATTTATGTTTATCGCGTTTTTTGCGCTGGTCTCTACAAAAATTGCATGGATGGAGTCAGCGTAGTCCTTAGCATCTCTTTCCATGACTTCCCTGGAAGGCAACAATTGCAAATCAGAAATTCTACCCATCAAGAGCTTAACGTCATCCCCACCTGGTACCCAGTAATTTACCAGATTTCAGATGACAGAGAATGTCACAAATGGCTGGCGAAAGAGCCCTGACACATGGTCCTCTGAATTACACCCCTTCTATGGTTAAACCAAACCAAACCAAACCAAACCGAACTCGGCACCAGTAGCAAGGCAGTTAACGGAATGATCAGAGAGTGGCAGGGGTTTCTTTCCCCCTAAAAACAAAGCCCTTGCTTTGGGAATCACGGAAGCAGGCCAGAGAAATTGCTAATAAATATTCTTTCCTTAAAATATGCTTTCCCCATCCAAGTATCCTATGTCATGGGAGCTGGGGGCTACACTAATCTCAGATAATGTCAAGTATGATGCAACCAATCTTTAAATAAATTACACACCTGGCTATAGACACAATCTAATTAGCTCTAAATGTCTGAACTCTTAATTTAGTTTGAAACTTCAGGACTCCAACCAAACAACAAAAAGGACTTTTTTAATGTCAGAGATAAAATAAAAGCAAGATTCTTATATTGGATATTGCAATGAGCACATCATGAACACTGTAATCTCCTGCTCTAATAACTTACCTGACATCGACAAGATCACACTTATTTCCTGCAATGGCAACTACAATATTAGGTGGGCCATGCTGTCCAAGCTCTTTCACCCAATTCTTTAATGTTGAAAATGTCTCCTGCAACACAAAAGAAGAAAGCAACTGGAGAGCTAAGTAACCAAAAGAAAGTTTTGAAGAGTCTAAAGAAAATGGTATGTAAGTCTTACTTCTTTTGTGATATCATAAACAATTATAGCTGCAGCCGACCCTCGATAGTACATTGGTGCTAAGGCACGAAACTGTAGAGAAGAGGGAAAAAGAAACAAAATTGGGAAAACAGGTTAAATATGTTCTTTACTAGACTTTTAAGCCCATTATTGCTGCACAAAAGGTAATCTTTCTCTTAAGCCAAAGAAGTTGACATGATGCTTTAAAGCAAATGAACCCGTAATTACCAAAGGCGAAAACTTTTAATGTAACACTGCAATGTCTCTCAGAAGATAGTTTAGAATACAGTTTTATAGGAATTAAATATGGTGCTGTAAACAATTGTTTCAGCTAGAAAGGCTTTTTAATTGAACTCAATGTTATAATTCCCAAATTCATTTGTTCAACAGTCCTTTAAACTTTGGCTTCCCAAACTATCAGGGAGATAAAAATACAGCTGTAAACAGTTCTCCAGAGAAGTGGCTGCATTTGAGTGCTGTAAAGATAACCCTGTGATCTAAATGCTGATCGTGCCACACAAATGAGCACACATTCACATTCACTACTTAGATGAGTTTGTAACTCACTTTTTTGATATCTCCTGCACGTGGCAATTCCCAAATGCAGTACAGATGTCATTTCATTTACATGAATTCAACTCTGTATGCATGGCTCCTTCCCACCCATCACCTCCCCCACCCTGAAATACAACCAGGAGGGAAAAGGAAAGGGAGAGGAATAACAATTTAAATAGCAAGGCTGATTTAGTGGGCCACTTCTCTGGACGAGCGTGAGATGGAGAACACGAAGCTCCTGCAATCAGCTTCGGTTCCTGGGCATATAGATGTGCCAGTGTGAGCATCTCGCTCACTGAACGTGAGGCCAATGTTCAAAGACAAGAATTTTACCTATACTTGCTCTTTGTCTTACATCTTGACTTTGAAACCGGACCCCTACAGATGATGTCATACTATGGTATGCTCATCCTGCTCTGTTCTGGTGGCTTACCCCCAAACACAGGCAGGAACTGTCATCAGAGGTGAGCATGTAGTGCACAGTACAATTCACATACAGAATTATAGATGCTGCAACTTCTTATCCAATGAGCTTAGCCTTTGGCTTTCAAACTTTCACGTTAATTTGAGTTTTACAAAAGAAAGTGAAATTATGACTAAACTCCATGAGAGAAGACAGCATGCCTGTTTAGTATACATTTTATTTCTGGGGCCTAGCTCCTGGCACACTGCAGGTAAGCAAGAATTGGTGACTAAATGAAGAAGAATTGTTTAAATATGGGGTGATGCCAAACTAAATCCCAGACTCAAATGTCCCTAATATAAAGTTTTACTAGTCTGTGAGAAAGATCCCAGCCTTTGGGGTAAAAGCCTGATAACTTTCAATAAAATATGTTAAGTTTTAGAGAGAAAAAAAACAAAAATAGAGGTTGTAGCAAGAAAGCGCTACAGAAAAGGAAACAACATTATTTGGTGGAAAAGACGCTGGACTGACTTCCAAGGTGGAAGGAACGGGAGTACAGAGATGGCACAAAGGTGATGGCATCAGCTTTCCTGTTAGATGCATCACACTGGCAACATCCTTTACAAGGTTGCTGGGTTTTTGTTTTTGCATTCAAATTTGTAAGGTACAAATCATATAGAGAAATGCAAAGATCTTAAGTTTAATAAAAGACATTAAATTTTGATAAAATGACAAATGTGTATGTATACATCCACATAAACACCATCCCACCAAGATACAAAACATTTCTATCAACACAGAAAGTTCCTTAATGCCTCTCTTATCATGCCCCTTCTTTATCCTTGATAGTAACCCTTGTCTTCAAGTCTACTTTGATATTGACCGCTATTGATATAAACACAAGGGTTTTCTTTTGCTTATGATTTGCACAGAATATCCTTTTCCACTCTCTTACTTTCAAGTTATCTGTTTTTATATTTAAGGTAATCCTCCTATAACCAGAACATAGTTTGATCCTGATTTTTGATCCAATCTGATAACCTCTACGTTTTAAGTGGAATGCTCAGTTCCTTTACATTTAATGTACTCACTGATACATTTGGTCTTACTGATATTAGGACTACCATTTTGCTATTTGTTTTATATCTGTTCCATTAAAAAAAATTCCTCTGATCCTTCCTTTTCTCCCTTCTTTTGCATTAACTAAATGTTTTTTAGTATTCAATTTTAATATTTTAATTTGTTCATTGGCTTTTTAGCTAGACCTTCTTGTTTTACTTTTTAAGTAGTTGCTCGTTACCACAATATTCATTTTTTCCTCACAGTCTACTTAAGAGTTGAAAATGAACCACCTCATGCAAAATATCACAACCTGTATGATCTAATTCTTTTTATCCCACTGTCCTTTGTGTTATTGTTGTCAAATATTTTAAATATACATACGCTATAAACCACACAATCCAGTGTGGTAATTTTTGCATTAAATAGCCAGCAGTCTTTTAAATAAGCTAAGAGAAAAAAAAAAGATTTTTAGATCTTTATGTTCACCATTTTCTGTGGTTGTTATTTCCTCCTATGGATCTGAGTTACCATGTAGTGTCATTTCCCTTCAGCCTGAACAGCTCTCTGGGACTGCTGCTGCTGAGTCCTCTCAGCTTTTGTTTTTCTAAAAATGTCATTACTAAATCAGCAAATCCAAAAGTCCCATGCACCCCTATGTTCATTGCAGCATTATTTACAATAGCCCAGACGTGGAAGCAACCTAAGTGCCCATCAACTGCTGACTGGATAAAGAAGATATAGTATATATATACAATGGAATACTACTCAGCCATAAAAAAGGATGAAATCGTCCCATTCACAACAACATGGATGGACCCTGAAGGTATCATGTTAAGTGAAATAAGCCAGATAGAGAAAGATGAAATCTGTATGACTCCACTCATAGGTGGAAGTTAAACACAGAGACAAAGAGAACTGATTGGTGGTTACCAGGGGAAAGGGAGGTCGGGGAGGGCACAAAGGGTGAAGTGGTGCACCTACAACATGACTAACAATAACGTACAACTGGTATTTCACAAGGTTGTAAACTATCATAATCTTAAAAAAAGTTAATAAAAAAGGTCATTACTTTGTCTTCATATTTGAAAGCTAAGTTTGGCAGACTGGCATTGTGTTGCTTTCAGCACTTTAAAGACACTGCTCCACTGTCTCCTGGCCTGCACTGCCTCCGTGAGAAGTTACCGTCATTCACATTGTTGTTCCCTGTAGAAGATGTGTCTATCATCTCTGCTGCTTTCAAGATTTTTCTTGTCAACTCTGGTTTTCAGCAGTTTGACTATGACGTACCTAGATGTGGCTTTCTTTGTACTTAGAGGTTTGCTAAAATTCTTGGATTTGTGAGTTGGTATGTTTTACCAAATCTGGGAAATTTTCAGCCGTTATTTCTCAAAATATCTTTTTTTCTGTCCCCCTCCCACCCCCTTTCACAACTTCTGGGTCTCCAGTTACACACGTTAGATTGTTTGAATTTGTCCTTATGATACTGAGACTGTGTTCACATTTTCTCACTCCTTCTCTGTTCTTCTGATTGGTTAATTTGTTTTGTTGTCCATCTAGTGGATTTTTCATTTTAGGTATTACAGTTTTCAGTTTTAGTGTTTCCATTTGATTCTTAGTTTCCATTCTGTGCGAGATTCCTCATCCATAGTTAAGTAGATAAGACTACTTTTCCTTTAAATCTTTGAACATTTTTAAATTATCTGGTTTCTGTTACCTTCTCTGAAAAGTGTTGAAATATTCGCTAATCATGCCGAGACTGGCTTTATGTGTGATTAGGGTGCGTCTATCTGGGTCTGCCTTTAGTACTAGGACATGGTCTCCACTTCTAAGGCATGGCCCTTCTGAAGTTTCAAGGGAAGCCTGTATTGACCAACCCCCTTTAACGCGGCAGGACTGGACTCCACTCCAAACTCCCCGTCCTGTGATGAGCAGCAGCTGTCTCTGCTCCATCCAGTCACTCCTCCAGCTGCTGCTTTCTGTTGGGTTCCTTAGTGTCTCCCCTGTGCCTTCACAACTGGAGGGTCAAGCAAAGACCTGAGGAGAATTTATAGCAGATTTTAGGGCTTCCCTCCTTGTTGGATCCATCTTTTCTGGGATTTGCCTCCTCTTTTTCCAGCTGCTGTAGCAGCCCTAAACTCTGGCCCCAAAACTGCCAGCTAAAAAGACGGGCTTTCTGTTTGAGTCCTAGCTACGCTGTGCCGCATGGACTGGGGAGTGCCCTCTGAGGAAAAGCTGTAAAAGTGTGAGTCTCAGCCAATGTCGTTCTCTTTTCAATCCCTGACTACATGTAGTTGCTTGGCAGTGCCTTCAGATAGTTGGTTTTTAATGTTTTATCCAGAGTTTATAGATAATGGTCATCTGTGGGAGGGTTAGTCTGCTACATGCCACTCTGCCATGACTGAAACTGAAACACTTTCCACGTTGTTTTGGTGTAAAGAAAGAAGGTGGCAGCTTAAAAAGAGACTTAAAGGACATCAGCACGTCTCTGTTCCAAACTTGGCTCTAGATCAGGGGTTGGCAAACTTTTTCTGGAAAGGGCCAGGCAATAAATATTTTAGGCTTTGCAGGTCATGTGGTCTCTGTTGCAACTACTCAACTCTGTTACTGAAGAGTGAAAGTAGCCACAGACAATAGGTAAACAAACAAGCATGGTTGTTTTCTTTCTTTTTTTTTTTCCCCTGCTTTATTTCCCCAACCCCCCCGTACAGTTGTATATCTTAGTTGCAGGTCCTTCTAGTTGTGGGATGTGGGATGCCGCCTCAACGTGGCCTGATCAGCGGTGCCATGTCCGCGCCCAGGATCCGAACCCTGGGCCGCCGCTGCGGAGCACGCGAACTTAACCACTTGGCTATGGAGCCGGCCCCAGCATGGTTGTTTTCCAATAAAACTTTATTTACAAAAACTAGCAGCAGGCTGGATTTGGCCCAGAGACCACAGTGTGACCCTAGTTCTAGATGATACCAAGCTACCATGCTTTTTCCTGATTTTAAACACGAGAACAATTCCTTACATGACTACTGTGATGATAAATGAGTCTGTGCCTTCTTGGTGCTCTGACCTCTGGAAACAGTTATCAGGAGAAACGACATTAAAATTCAGAGATATATATCTTTAAGGACTGGATGCACTGTTTATTAGACTTTGGTTAAGAAGCTTTCTTTTATGTAATCACAGACAGATGGCAAGTATTTGAAATGCTGCTGCTATGTTTACGGTCTATTTATGATAATGTCTCTGTAGGCCTATTTGTGCATGGTGCTGGGTCTGTCTCCATGCTACTGTAGGAGTTTCTTGTTAGTGAAGGATGATTGGTGGGAAAAGGTCACAAAGTGAATTCATTTAATATAACAAACAGGGACAAAAAGGTCTGACAAGGGCTCTACTGTGAGAAATTAAATTTAAAATTATGAAAACAAGTTTCATTTTATTTGATATTAGAAAAAATTTAGGTTTATTACTGCAACCAGGAGCTAGTTTCCTTAATGAACACTGAATCAAAGTTGATTGATAACTTGACTGTGATTCTGATAAAGCTATATGCTAGCACCATATGATGGCTATCTTGCATTTCATGTTTGACTCTCCTAGTCCTATCATAAAAATAAAATTTTTACAAAAATATTTAAGGACTCCACCAGTTTTCCCTAGGCCTCTCAACGCTTTGAAACACAAATCATCTTCTGAAGCACTAATATCATCATCCTGATCAGTATTTTTCTCTTCATTTAATTTAACAAGATCCCTACCATCAATTGCTTTGCATGACATTTGCAAAGTTCTCCAAAATCACTTTTGTTGATTTAATGAAATCACTTTGCAATTAATTACAACTGGACCATCAAAAAGACAATCCATCTGTCAAAACTATATACAGCAACAGAGGAGAGGGTCAAATGGGGAGGACGTCTGAACGGTAAGTTCATCAAAAAGGGTTTTCATCTTATGACTTTTGGTGCCATAAAGAAACTCATTACTACAGAGAACTGAATAATAAATATGCAAATACCAGAAATTTGAAATTTGAAGCATGCAATACTCACAAGGTAAAAGTAGGTAGGGGATATGTCCTTCCTTATTTGCACCAAAGCAGGGCTGGCAATCCATTGACATAAATCTGCTGGCATCAATACTGTGTGCCAGGGGCTGAGAGCACAGACATGAAGACAGTCCCTGCCCCCAAGGAGCTCACAGTCTAACAGAAGATAGACAAGTAAGGAAATAGGTGATGATACCATGCATAAGGGCAATCAAAGACTGCTCAGGACACAAAGAAATACCCCAAAGAGTTCATTCACTGATTGGTCCAACCAATATCTGAGCATCAACTCTTTGTCAGTCACTGTGCTGGGCACTGGGAATACAGCAGTGAACAAGATACTGTGGTCCTAGCTCTCAAAGTTTACAGTCTGCAGGGAGACACTGTCATTAAAGGTAAATAGACAGAAATGTAATTACAACTTGTAAAAAGGATCCTGAGGAAAATGAGTAAGGGGCAGTGATGGAGAAAGAACCAGGGCCCTGCTTAGGCACAGGGGGGTTGGGGAAAATTCTGAGGGTGTAACACTGAACCTGAGACCAAAAGGTTGGTAAAGAGCTAGCTGGCCACGTTCCCAGTGGAGGGAAGAGAGAGCTCCACTACAAGAAACGATGTGTGTGAAGGTCTCATGGACGAAGACCCTGGAGTGTTCGAGGAAGCGAATGGAGGCCCCTGGGCTGGGACTCAGAGGAAAGAGGGAGGCTAGACCAGGAGGGCACGGAGGAAAGGAGGTAGGGCAGGTCACGCAGGGCTTCTTAGGTCATTGTTGAGAGTTTGGCTACTATGAGAGGAGCAGCAGGAAGTTACTGAAGGGGATTAAGCAGGAAGATAATAGGGTCTGATCTGTGTTCAAAAAATCCCTCTGGGTCCTATGAGGAGAAGTGACATAAGGGTGGCAGGGCTGGGAAGAGTGACAGCAGGGAGACCAGTTAAAAGGCTAAAGGAATACTGGGGTGAAGTTAAAGGTGTCTGCGAGCAGAGTGCTGGTAGTGGAGATGGAGAGAAGTGAACATATTTGAGAGATATTTAGAGGACAAAGCTGTGTCAGGACATGCTGATGGAGCCAATCTGGAGGACTGAGGGGGAGAGAGGAATCAAAGATAACCTCCAGATTTGGGTCTGAGCAACGTGGGCATACGGCCATGTGGTTACTTATCTGAGAATAGCAGGAATCATTAGGAAAGACCCCCATGAGGTGACATTAGAGGTGAGTTTTCTAGGCTGAAGGTGGGAAGGAGGGTATTCTAAGCAGAGGGAACAACAGTATACAGGTGCAAGGGTATGGAATTGCATGGCACGTTGGAGAACTGTAGGCAGTGTGATACTAGAGGATAAATTGGTGGCAGGAGGTGAAAATGGAGAGTCCGGCTGAGGTTGGCATACTGTCATGGCCTTGAAGGCCTTGCTTAGGACAAACTGGCAGGCAGAACAAGCTCAAAGATGTGTCTGGCATGATCTTCACAGTGTTTCAAACAATGTGTGATTAGCTGCCAGAGGTTTAGCTTTTCTTCAAGACTGTGATCTGGCGACCTTGGATGTGAGTGAGTGCTCACCAGTTGATCCTCTCCTCACTGTCTCCTCCAACACTGGGTTCTACTGAGCAGTTCTCTGACCCCTGCCTGCCTGCCTCACGCACATTCCCTGTACCAGCCCCTGGCTGGCTGACTGTGCTTCAGGGAGGGGTGAGGCAGATTTGCATCTCAGCGCAACCAGTCCTGGTGCAGAATCAATGAAAAGTGGGGAAACAAGAGCCAGGCAAACCAGCTAATTGCAAAACTTAACAGAATCCTGCTATTATGGTAGCAGTAAGGGAGAAGCATAGACTCTTGTGTTATTCTTTTTTTATATTCTAGTAAAAAGAAGATGTTATACATCACTGTGTATACCAGGACAGGCTCTGATTCAAAGCATAATGGAATCTGTATTACAGCATGATTCTTTATGATGAGGGTTTTTCTGTATCATCAAACATATGGGAGGGGGTAACTGAAACATGGGATGCAGTGAAAGGGTACAAACATTACTAGCATGAAGAGCCACACGAGTTCCTGGGTAACAGGACAGATGCCAGGGCTGTGTCTACAGAGATATTCAGGAAGACTCTGTGGGAAGCAACACTACTCAAGGATGGAGAGTGCTGGTTAGCAAAGGTCTAGTTGCCCTAAATGCTCCATTCTGGATGCACAGCACCAACAAAACAGAAGTGGGGACGGGAGGCTGAGCAGACGGATCTCAGATGAGTAACTGGACACAGGGCATGATAGCCAGTGTTAAAAAAAACAGGAGAAATCCAACAGAGCAAACTAAAGACATTAAATCTGTACAAATGGACGGTGTCTACGTCTAGGACAACAGTAATGGCTTGCTTTGTTTTCCTCCATTTGTCTGTGATGATTCTTGTCAGATTTTATACCACACACAGTATCTACGCTGTCTTAGATAAGACCGTGATGACAGACTATTTCTCCTGATTACTTCTGGTATACTTTTAAGAGCTTAAGATAGCACTGTGTATCCATCAGATGTTCTGTTTTGATACTACTGGTTGAAAACAAAATTAAACAGCAGCTGAATAATGGGGTGGCTGCCAGAGGCACCTTGACGGGGAAATCAGACTTGGGGCCCAGAGTGAAAATGAAGCAGCAGGCAAGCATCTGTCTCCTCCTTGCCTTCCCACCTCTGTCCAATTTGGGTGGGCTTCACCAAATCCCATTCTGCACAGTGAAGCCTTGGCCCAGGCTCTACTTCTCCTTCAGGCTCTTCCTTAAGCAGATAACCACCTCGGACAATTTGATCCACAGGCATTTATTAAGTACCTATTGCACGGCACTGTGTTAGCTCATCCATTTCACTTAAATCTCAAACTTTATATGCTGTAAAGTTCCCTCTTTAGCTTTTAAAAGGTGGCTATAAAAGAGATGTGCTTAACTCTCCCTTTCTACCACTAATTCTTTTATATCTTTGCTAGAGGATGAAGCCCCAAATTACACACAATGCTCTGAGCAGGATTTTATCAGGCCTGTTAGTCAGCATTTACTTTAAGACACTAAAAAGTATAAAAATGCCCTCAGTGCCCATTATCACTTTCTCCATCAGTGGACTTTGTGGCTCTAATTGAAAAGAAAAAGGCTGGCCTACGCAAATGGAAATAAAAATGTCTCTAGCACAAAAAGAAGTGAGTAACGTGAAATGACATGGACATCAACAGTTTAGTCAGAGCTTTAATTTGGGCCTCAGAAAAACATGTAGTAAATGAAAGAGTGACTTACTCGTTCTTGTCCAGCTGTATCCCAGATTAGGAATTTATGTAGCTCATTTTGGTACTGGACAGTCTTGGTCATAAAAGATGCCCTATAAAGAGAGACCTACATGATCAGAATACAATTATTTAAAGCACACTGCCAGCCCCAGTAGGAAACATCACTTAGACTTAATGCTCAAACTCTCGCTCCACACCGCATCCTAACTGTGCTCCTCTCTGGAGTATGCATGGGATGCTCAGATACTGGCTGCATATTCTGTGTCAAAAGAAAGCATTAGGCACATCTGCTCAACACAAAGAGGTAAGAGTTCTTTGGCTTGTGACTGCCTAAACTCCCTATCAAAAAAACCAAGAGATAATTTGGTAACCCAGACATTAGCCTCCCTTGTAAACACGGAAGATGTTATTTAAAAAGATGGTGTCATGGAAGAATTTTCTCAAAAAAACTGTGTGTCCAGGAAATGAGTGCACTAGTAAAACATATTAGGCCCTTCGGATTTGTCCTCCCTCCACCCTCAAACTATAGAAATAGCCGATTAAGAACTAATGCAACATTAGAGTTAATAAAATTAAGATGCCAAACAAGGAGCCGGGGAAGCAATGCCCCCAATGACCAACTCTGTGTTTCAGTAACAAAAGAGCCCCTCAGCTGACGTGATGGGTCACATCAGACCTCAGGGTCTGGCTCAGCCCTTGATGGGGAGTGGAATGATGGTACGCAGGTCATATTGCTCACTGTGAGGGACCACTCTGTCCAGGGGCCTTTGAAGACAGGGTTCCTATTGCTTTGAGGGTCTCATACTTCTTGGAGACTCTCTGAGGAGCCACTTGGCCCAGAACACATGCCTAGACACTCTAGGGGCTCCTGGACACAGGTTCGGAAGTTGTACCCCAGGGCTGGGCCCAACTCCAATACTACCTTCTACTCTCCATCTCACCCAGAGAGCTCCCTCCTGGGAAGTCCTTTGTCTCCAAGTCTCCTCAACGCATCCGAGTCTGGCTTGCAGAACCCAGATGTTTGAAATATTTTTGAGATTCAAGTAATAGATACATAATCTTCAAGAAAGTGCAAGTTGAAATCAATAGAATGACTTTCAGAAGAATCAATGAGCGTTAGATAAGTATCAGAATCCCTAGTTTAACAAAACTTAAACTCTGATACAATGAATTCCTGGTAATAATTATATAAATTCATGGTTTAGCAAGCAGCCTCCAAACAGTGACTGTAATGAGGATGAGAAAGTGAGTTAGGAAGCAAGATCACAGTTCTTGGATAGGTGCTATTTACTGGATGCTTATTTACTGAAAATTTACCCCTTGGTATCTTTAGTAAAGCGCTTTATGCATAGAAGGTGCTGGATAAATGGTTATTGTATCATGAACCTTTGGCGACTCACTATGATTAAATTAGGATGTGCAACATGATTTCTCAGGTAGAAAAGATCTAAGCTTTCAAAAACTCTTGTTTATTGTGAAGATTAAATGATATGATGTATGTGAAAGTGCTTTGTAAATCGTAAAGTACTATACCTATTTACAAGGCATTATTATTATTATTATTTAAAGGCAGCTCCAGGAAATGTTTTAGTTTAGACTTTGCAATTAGTCCTAAAAGCTTGCAACTCAACTCTCCATCAATTATGGCTGTGGTGTTACATTTAGGAGTGGCACCAGGCATCCAATATAGGCCTATTAAGAAAGCCAATGCATCCAACACATCCATTTTGGCTGCTCAAAGAACAAGGGAAGAAATATGCTTCAAGTAGACAAAAAACTGAGAAAGGTATACCCAACAATTAAAAGGAAATGTTTCATTATAGGATCAGAATAAAGTTCAACCTACCTGGCAACCATTTCCCTTTTAATGAAAGCAGAGATTTGTTATTCAGACAGGATAAAGAAAGGCAAAATGGCAGCTATAATGTAATGCAAGTATCTGAAAGGATTAAACTCAATTTCCCGTCTCTGACCCCAGACCATCCTGCCAGCTCTTCCCATCATCACTCTCAACACACTTCCTTCCTATCTATCTCTACACTGAAGTCTTGCTGTACCCAAAGCTCTCTACTTGGGTCTGTTGGCTTCTTGTCCTTTTATTGCCAGCATCACTTGCCCACACTGGTAGTTCTTTAGGAATCTTGTCTCAACCACCCACAAAAGCCCCAAGCAGCCTCTCTACCTGCTTCTTCTACTTAGCGATGGGGTGGCTGTCGTGCTGGAGGAAAGTCACAAAGCCACATGAACCAGTGTGGAGACTAACCTATTTCAGCTGGGTCCAGCTCTTAGGCTTTTCATCCCACATAGCAATTATTCTACATTCTTACGCCTCCTTTCCAGCTCCCTACCACTTCCTGCTACCTTCCTTTTTGGGGCAACAGCTTGTTTCAACCTTCTCAGAGAAAACAGAGGTTATAAGCCCCACATCCCCCAACATGCTCTGCAATCAATCCTCCCAATTTGAGAATAAACAAATTTCCATTCACACCGCCTGCGAGTTCCACTTTTCTGACTTTGGCCAAGTCAGAGATGTCTTTTCTTTGATTCACCCATCACTGCTGCCCTGGATCATGATCCCAAAACTTCCTGCCTGGGCCACTGCAGTAATCAAATTGGTCTCCTCCTCCCAGTCTCAAATCCCTCCAATTGCTCCTGTTTCCTCCTTCACACTGACTGTTCCTTTTCCTTGAATGGTTTTCCCCTGGCTCTCCCATGGCTAGATGCTCCTCATTCTTTAGGTATTAGCTCAACTGCCAAAGAGCACAGAAACCTGTGCGGTCCACCCAAACCAGGCAGCTTCTTCCCCAACTTCACCCTGCAAAACACATATCATCCCATTTTGTCTGCAGGGTGCCTACTACAATGTCTGATAAGCTTACTTATTTTTTAAAATGTACCTGTTCAATGTCTAGCTCACCTATGAGAAATGTAAGCTCCACGAAGGTAGAGACCTTGCTGTACCTCTTCCTCTAAGAGGGGTGTCTTCTTTATCTCCCTCCTCCTTGCTACTCTAGAATTCTGACAAAACATTGACCGTGTTGCCATAGCTATTTCGGTTTCCATCACTCCAACAGTTCCAGGCTGTCTTGGCCAACCACTTCCAGAAGCATAAAGTGAGAAGTGCTTCTGAATTGCAGGTGGAGTTGAGATTAGAGGTGACCCTAGCTCTTTAACCACAGCCAGGTGTGTAGCCTCTAGGGTGTGAGGGAAGTGGTTCAACTAGTGCAGGGCTTGCTTGCCCAGGGAAGTCCTTTCTGCCGCTCCTGCTCGCCACCAGCTCTAACCCTCTGCTAACCAACAGGCAACAGACAAAATCTGGAAGTTGCAGCTAAGAATTACTGTGTCCCTCCATCACTGAGACTTCTGGAATTCTGCTAGGGAAGAAGTCATGGCACTTTGTGGACTCTTTGCTGCTGGCTCATGCATTCAATCAGGAGCTCTTTCCCTCCTCCAAGTCCCAGCTGGTGTGGCTATGGTGAGACGGTCACACCTCCCTCACCTCTCCTCCCCTGAGCCCCACAATACCTCTATTGCAACAGGCATCTCTGGTGATTTTTGAGAGTCTGCAATCTTGGCTTATCACACCTTTAAGAGTCATTTCCTCCTCTTCAGCATTTGGATTCTAGTCTATGTAGTGGTAATACCTGGATTCAGGGCCAGACACAGTAGGGGGTGTCACCCACTGTCTCTCCCAAGTCATCTCTACGCAGCTCTGGGCTAGCCCTGGGGCAGAAGGCCTCCCGTATGACTCCTTTGAATAAATCCCTTCCCACAGCTTCTCATTTTTATCTGTTGAGGACAGCACTTTTCTAAATCTGACTGACTGTAGTTTAACTACACAATCTAGATACTACTTCATCATTTCCCACTTAACATGAAGATGGGGCTTATTCCTACCCTACCTTCACAACAATCCCAAACAGCAAGTTCTCAATCAGAACATTACTATCTTCCATCGAACCCAAGTTGGTCTGCAACTGTTGTTTGTCCTTTGTTACTTGCATCTAGTTTTGTAGAACTGTCTGGGTCTTCATTTTATGTTTAATCTACACTTGAACCTCAATCCCTGGAAGAAATTCATAAATTGGACCCAAATCTTTGAGTGGGACTACTACAGACTTTCCCTCCCTCAGTCACTTGAACTCCAGATCACTCCTTTAACGTTCAAGTTAAATGATGCGGAGGTTATGATAACTTCAATATCTTGCGTTTTGAAAAACAAGCAACGGCTTCCTGCCATTCAAATGATACATTTTTATTTTCCAGCCTGCCATTTACTTGTCTGATAACCTTATTTTTCACTACTAAACCATCTCTCTTCACTCTGCCTAGGCAGGTCTTATTACCTCTTTAATCTAAAATCCCTACCAGTATTATTTCTTAAAGCTAGAATGTCTTTCATATACTTCTCCACGTCTCATGACATTCCAAAAATATGACTTTCATGCACACCAAACAGTCATGATCTTTGCTCAGAGTATCTGTTCCCAATGAAAACCCTTGCTGCAAGGTGTTTTAAAAATTTGTTTTCTTTAATTACAGTAGACTTTTTTTTTAAGGAAGATCAGACCTGAGCTAACATCTGCTGCCAATTCTCCTCTTTTCGCTGAGGAAGACTGGCCCTGAGCTAACATCTGTGCCCATCTTCCTCTACTTTATATGTGGGGCGCCTGCCACAGCATGGCTTGATGAGTGGTGCCATGTCCGCACCTGGGATCTGAACCGGAGAACCCTGGGCCGCCAAAGTGGAACGTGCGCACTTAACCGCTGCGCCACTGGGCCGGCCCTACAGTAGCCTTCTTTAGCTCTCTCAGAACACAGGTATGCCCTGCCATCACATTCCAGTACCTCTCTTGACTGCAAGCCCTTTTCTTGAAAAGATAAATGGGATTGCTGTCATCCCCATATGGGTATGTGGTGCCCTTTAAGGATGAAGAACTTAGCACATTTTAAAATTAATGAAGGATCATAACTTCTAAACAACTTTAAATTTCATGCAAACAATGCCTGGATCTCTAGGTTACATATGCTGATAGAAACACCATTAACTACACTAAGATTGAGACATAAAAAGACCACAGGTACATGAAAT